GGAAGCTCGGCCACACGTGGGGAGACAGGTGGAGAGATGCATAGGCCACACGTGGGGAGACAGGTGGAGAGATGCATAGGGTCCAGAAGAGTCTTGAGGACAGGAGCTTCTGTTCCCATGAAGTCGGGGTGCACAACCTCCAGCCTTGGGATGTGTTCACCAACTCAAAAGCTCTCCGAACCCCATACTTCAGGGATTTTTCTGGAAGCGTCATCACTAGGCATCATCGATTATTAACTCAGTCTCCAGCCCCTCCTCTCTCCCCTAAGAATGGGGGGTGGGGCTAAAAGTTTCAAGCTTCTAATAATGGCTTGGTCTTTCTGGGGACAATCCTCAACCAGGAGTCTACTCAGAGTCACCTCGTTAGAACAAAAGATGCTCCTATCACCCGAGAAATTCCAAGGGTTTTAGGAGCTCTGTGTCAGGAGCCAGGAGCAGAGACCAACATACATATTTCTTCTTATGTCACCGACACCAAGAGAGAATGAAGCCTAGAGAGACGAGACAGCAGAAAGAGGAGGTGAGGGGAGAGAGACTAATGGGGTCCCCCAGTGTCACAAGGAGAAACGGGACAAAGACCAAGGGGCAAGAAGACAGAGGGGGAGACAGGCAGACTGAAATGCTTCTGCAGGCCTGCACCCCCATCTCAGCAAGCTTGAGATGCAAAGCTCTTACCCTCCCAAACCACCCCCCGGAAAGGCTTGTGGCTCCATGACCCAACGTGCCCTCGCGCGGCCCAGTCCCCCAAGGCAGGAGAGGGCTGAGCTGTGGGTCAGACCATGTGCTTGTGCTGCTGAAGCTGCCTGCATGCTCCCACTCCACCTGGGGCTGAGTCAGGGACCTGCCCCAGACCAGGCGAAGGAGACCCAAGATCAAAGACAACCCCCACCAAAGAGCACAGTGCTTGGGAGCCAGCACGGGGCTGTGGTTGGCACGTGGGTTTCGCTGTCACGGAAATCGGTCTTTGAGGCGTGGTTCATCCATCCCTGGGACCTTGGGCAAGTCCTGACACAGAGCTCCTAAAACCCTTGGAATTTCCCCGGTGATAGGAGCATCTTTTGTTCTACCCTCACGGGGCTGTGGTTGGCACGTGGGTTTCGCTGTCACAGAAATCGGTCTTTGAGGCGTGGTTCATCCATCTCTGTGATCTTGGGCAAGTCGTATCATTGTTCTGACCCTCTGTTTTCCCACCTGTAAAATGGGGATAATAATGATAATATAATCCCTGTTTTATGGGGTTGTGGTTTTATTTTGAGGGTGAAATGTATATAAAGTGCTTAACGTAAGTGTCTGACACCTTATAAGCTCTCAACAATTGATAGTAAAAACTTGAAAGCTTACCTCTGGGAATGGGGGTGGCATAGAGACCCAGATCAGGGAGCCTGAACTTTCCTTAACTTACAGAGCCCTTAAGAACATGAGAAAACTCTTCATCTATGATAAAACTTCACCTGGCCTACCTCGCAGGAGTAGGGGAAAGCCTTTGATAAACTACAGTTTTGCTAGTGGCATAAGGGGGATCCTTGCCAGTGAGTCTGTGACTCTCTCTCCAGAAAAGCTGTCCAGCTCCTTGGGCATCTCAGGAGCAGCTCTGGCTTTCCTCTGGCGGTCTCCCGCGGGGTGGCGGCTCACCCTTGGCTAGCTGACCTGCCATTCCTTAGCTCCTGGCTGGGCTGTCATCGCCTCCTGCTGGTCTAATGGAGGTGCCTCCTGTGTAGGCCTCAGGAGCTAGTGTGATGGGACAGGGACTCACCCTCCTATGGGGCTCAGGAAGGTAAGACTGCTCCCTGGGACGGCCTAGGACTCACTTGGGCAACTGGGACCACACAGGCCAGGAGGGTGCCACGGATCTGTCTCAGGCCCCCAGTAAGCGCGATCATTACTAACTGATGAGGACTAAATATTGCGCACTGTGTTAAGTGCTCCGCATACATTATCATTTCACCTGCCTAATGACCTATGGGATTCACACTGTTATTATAATAAATCATAATACCTACTTTACAGATGAGAAAACAGACCCAGAAAGCCTGGGTAACTTAACCAAGGCACACAGCTAGAAAGGGGTGGATACGGCTTTGCTGCCCAGATCTGGCTGTCTCCTGAGTCCTGCCAACTCCAGTGCAAGCCAGGCTTATCTCAGAGACGGTGACACAGGCATCCTGGGAGGACAGGAGGGTCGCGCTGTCCAGGACTGATTTAACATGGGGACCATAGGCAGCTGGCACCATGAATGGCATCAGGAGACCTGGTGTACTTTGCACACTTGGCTGCTCTGAGGCCTTCGGCCCGCCCCTTGCCCCTGGCCTCAGTTACCTCATCTGCAAAATGAGAAGTTGTGTTTAATGTCCCCTCAGGCTTCCCAAAGCTGCACCTGCGCCTGCGCCCCAGGCTTCCACCCTCCAGCCACGCTGACCCCTGGAGATTCCCGCTTCACGCTTCTGGTTAGTTTTGGCCTCCACGCTGAAGCTCGGATCCACTGTCTTGTTGTCACTGCGAATCCTCGCCCCCATGTCCTTCCCTGGACCGGCGGCGCCAGGCCTGGCGGGTCTTTTGTGAGGTAGGTGCAGTGACCAGGTTGGCCAGTAGGGGTCGCCGGGCAGACGAACCCCGTGGAGTATGGGGGCAGAATCTCGCGTCCTGCTGGCCCCTTTGGCAGCCTGGGAGTGAGGAAGGGAGACCTGTGTCTGGACTTTCCCCTGGGGAGGCTCAGTTTTTCCATCCGTAAAGTGGAGTGAGGTGGCCTAGAACCCCCATATGGCTGCTAGACAACCTTGGGGCACTGTCATCTGTGGACCTTAATGCTAGAGAGAGGGGACTGTCTTGAACTCCCTTTGGCAGAAGCACTTGGCCCAGCATCCTTAGGGAATGGAACAAAATAACTCTGGGCCCTTTCTCAAACTTGACAGAGAAAACAGAGCCTAAGTCTCACAGCTTAAGGAGAAGTCTTACCCTTGGGAGAAAGGAGGGTTCTGATAGGGCTGCCTCAAGAGCGGCCTGGGGTGGCTAGGGAAATGGAGACCCCCCCTCTGGAAACCTCCCAGAAGTGGGCCTGGCTTTGAGATTAGGGATTATGGGGCCCAGGTGATGGATGGCAGCCTGCTGGGGTGTGGCTTCTGCCCCTGTCTGGAGAAGCCCAGACGGACCCCAGTGGGAAGGGAGAAAGCATCATCCTGTCCTCAGCAGCTGCAGGCCCTGGGAACAAAACTGGAGCCTGGACCATCCTCCTCGCTCAGCTGCCGGGGGCTGTCCTGTCCCAGTTCTTCTGAACCTTCCCTCTCCATCAGCTCCAAATTCTGGGCCCAGAGAGAACAGGTAAAGGCCCAAGGATGAGGGGAGGCCAGGTAGGGGGCTGCCCAATCATCTATCCCAGGACCCCTCCAAGGAATAGGACCACGATCTTGTAAGGCGCAAAAGGAGCCTCTCCCACCCACCCCCTTGCTCTCTTGACCCCACCCCTCTCCCACCCCTCAGCGATTAAAGAACAAGACGTAGGCATGACAATGTTGCAGAATGTACTCTACAAAAGTGATCATGGGCCTGTGGCAGGGGTGCTTCATACGGTGGTGGGAGCCAGGAAGCCCACCCCACCCCAGCACAGGGGGTACAGGGAGGGCCTGAGGCAGTACCACGGGAACAGGAGAGAAAGGGCAGCACCTGGGGCTCTGAGGAAGTCGAGTCGGCACTTGGAGGTGGCCCCAGGCTCAGGCCCCGAGAACAGGGAGAGGACTGGTGGGGGGCTCGGGGCAGCTGTGGCGGGCAGCCAAGCCCTGCCTGTGGGACCAAGCAGCTCAGAGCAGCTCCATCTGACCCCCAGCTCTGGGCATGTCTGTAGATGGGGTCTGTGGTGTTCTTTGGGGGTTCTCTTTCCCCGGCCCAGGCCAAGGGGGCCCAGGAAGGAGCTGGGGGGCTGTGGCAGTGCTCCCACAGAAGCTGCTTCCCAAGCTGAAGGTCAGGGATGGGGCATTCACTGTTAACAGAGGAGGAAGGGCACATCCGTGTGGGGGTGCGTACGTGCACACATGTGTGTGCAGGCTCCTGAGCGACTCTCCCACATCTGTGACTTCGGTCTGACTGCAGAGCTATGAGGACACATGTCTGAGGACCTTCTGGTGCTGGCATTTCTCCTGGTCTCACCATCATTACAGAGCAGGGCATGTGCTGAGCTCTCGCTTACTCACTATTCATGCAGGACCATGACAGCCAGGGAAATCCAACAACTGATCCCCAATGCAGGCACACAGAGCCCTGGGGACCTGGGGACAACCAGCAGCTTAGATTATCCACATCCTCAGGCTGCCCCAGGGTCTATATTACAGGACTTGCCCACCCTAGGCTGGATACCTTGCCACGCTCAGTCTCCGCCCTGTCTCAGGCCTGGAAGACTCTGAGGCAGTTGGCAGATGCCTTTCTCCAGCTCAGAGCATGCCCGCTGGGCCTAGGGGCCATAATACTGCAGCCAGTTGCTCCGGCACCTTGCGTCTATTGCCCTGACCCCCTGGAGTCCCGGGGGGTAGGGGGGCGGCAGGCTACACATCCAAGGAGAGGGAGGTTGGCAGAGGTCAGGGTGGGGAGGGCGGAGTCAGGCTGGGCCCCACCCCAGGGTGAGCTGGGAAGTCACCCCCACACACACACTGCAGCCTGGCACTCCAACTCCCCAGCATGGCCAGTGGGAGCAGGAGAAGGAGGCTGGCCATGCTAGGGGCAGGGGTGGGGACTAAAGTCAGGGCATTTGGCTGAAGAGTCTAGCCGGGACCCCCTCTCTGGGGTACATGGTGGGGAGGGGAGGCAGCCCAAACTCTTCCCTTCACAAAAATGTAGGAAGTGAGAAAGTCTCCAGCCTGAGCACGATGATGGGACCCTCAGAGGAGGGGTGGGGGGAGACAGTGGCCCCTGGGACAGGCCTCGCCCACCCCTTACGCACACACTCCCGCGCAGCTCCAATGGGCACATGGTCTAGTCCCTGAGGCCCCAGTGGCCCCTGTCTTTCCTCTGGCCTTCAGCAAATCCACATGTCCTTTAGGGTCACTCAGATGGGGGTGGCTCAAGGGCTCTGGGACCTTTCTGGGTGCCTCCAGGCCATACCCTCTGCTGTGGAGTGTGGGAAAGCTTTCAAGGGAGACGTCCCGCATGGTCCTTGCCCCTAGGGAGGGGCCCAGGGGGCTGCAGGTCTGGCGACTGTGAGGACCTCACGGTCCCACCGTGGGTTATGGCAACTTGCAATTCATTTTGGTCTGGGGAGAAAAGCCCCCCGTTATCTGCAGAGAAAAAGACAGAAACAGACCTCAGATAAGGGCCTTCAAGACATCATTTGAAACCAAGACCAGCCGTTTTGACAACTCACCTTCTCCAGGAAGGCTGATTGGTCAGGGATGGGGCATCTTCCCCATCCCCCAGACTCTAAACAGATTGCCTCCCCACAAATCCCCCCTGTGGCCTTTACCCTAAATGCTCATTTAGGGTAAAGGCCACAGATACCAAAAGGGCTTATGGGATTCCATGAGGGAGGGGGCAGGGCAGGGATGGGCCACAGTCCAGCCAGTGCGACAATAGCCTCAAGCTCCCCATGATGGCTTTTTGAACATGGTAACTCAGCCCTCCTATGGGAGCCACCTCATCCTTAGGCTTTAGAGCCACACACACATGAGGGATCGAGCCCAGCTTGTGAGTCTCCACTTGCTTGCCTGGAAAATGGGGGTGATGTGGCCCCTGTGCATGGCAGTTGGGGAGGGCATCTCCAGCGGCCGTGATTACTGTGACCGCTGTGTCTCATCCAGACTAAGACACCCATTTTTCCACATTTCGATATGTCCAAAATCAAGGTGCATTTTACATTCACTGTGATAAGAAAACCTTGTGTCATCATGAAATGGGCAGCTTCTTTTTGTGAACTGGGATAAAGAAACTAAGTGGGGCCTCTTATAATTGGTGGTAAATTCGACTTTATGAAATACGGTATGATCCCCCTCCTTCCTGGAAAGGCAGATCCTCCCACCTTCCAATGCCTATCTTCCCATGGCCCCAGGGTTAAGGCACTCACAGCTCTGTGTCTTCCAGGGCTGGTGGGCGCTCCAGCGCCTGCCTCCGCCTCCGGACGGCCCCCATGATCTTCTTTCGGGGTCCCAGGGGGACGCTGATACTGCGGAGGTCGAGGTCGGAGCACAGCATCAATGCCTCCAGGTCGATCTTCTCCTGCCGCAGGAGGGAGGTGAAGTCCTCCATGTGCAGGGAGGCCAGAAAGGTCTCCAATGGGCTCGTCTCAGGCTCCAGGTCCTCATCCAGGCCCAAGTCCAGCTCGTCCCAGGGCAGCTCCTCCCCGCAGCTGCGGTCCTGCAGGCTGTTGGCACTGCCCAGGCTGTCATCGTCCAGGCTGGGGGAGCTCTGCAGCCGAGCCCGCGGTGTGCCCGCGCCGTCCAGCGCCGCGTCTTCGCGGCCCAGCCCGTGCAGCCCGCTGCTCAGGTAGTTCCTGCGGAACACCATGGTGCCCAGGCCCGGGCGGGTAAACAGGGAGTCGTGGCCTGAGTCGGTGCTGACCTCCGAGTGGGCAGGCTCAGCCGCCAGTGTGGCACGAGAGACGCTGTCCTCGTCGGAGAGGAACATGTCCCGGAGTGGGGAGCGGCCCCACTCCTTGGGGTTGGCGTAGGTGCCTTGGCGCACGAACATCACGTCGCTGCCCAGCTGCAGGCCCGAGAGCGAGCGCACGCTCTTGCGTCCGTCCTCGGAGATCTTGAAGGTGCCCTCGCCGCCCTGTTTGCGCCGCTCCAGCTTCCGCTGGATCTTGGTCTTGCCCCTGTTGGTGCCGTGCAGCGTGGCTTGCGAGTAGGGCAGGTGGCTGCCCAGTGCCAAGTGCTGCAGCCGGCGGCTCAGGGTGCTGGATGTGAGGCTGGAGAAGCTGAGCGTGTCGGAGCGCTCGGCCATCTCGCGCCGGTAGCGCCGCTCCATGCGCTCATGGTGCTTGCGCTGCATCTTGGCGCATTCGCGGATGCGCCGCTCCGCCTCGCGGAAGGCCTTGTCCTTCAGCTTGCCCACCAGCTTGGGGTTGAGGCTGCTCTGCTTGGCCGCGATGGAGTCCAGGTAGCGCACGCACTCCATGTGGCCCTTCATGGCGGCCATGTCCAGCGGCGTGTGGTAGTCGTTGTCCAGGCACCAGATGTTGGCCCCGAAGGACACCAGGAAGGAGAGGCAGTGCAGGTGGCCATTGGAAGCTGCCAGGTGCAGGGGTGTGTTGCCCCAGATGTCACACTTATCGGGGTCACCCCTGCGAGGAGGACACATGGAGAGAGATGATGAGCCATTGTCAGCTCTGGAAGGCAGTCGGAAATGGCTGCGGGTGTGGAGAGCTCTTAGCCTGGTTCCGGCACACCAGAGGGGCTGAGGACCTGAGATCTCTCCTCTGACCCCAGGGGACACACAGCCCAGAGCTGAGAGAAGGACAGAGTGAGCCTGGACAGGCAGTGAGTGGGGCGACAGAGAAGGCGGGGCCAGGGCGGGGCCTTCCCCACGAGAACTGAGGGCTGGGAATCTCAGGGGATAAATATTTGATGCTCAGAGAGAAAGGAGTGAATTATTCATGGAGCCCAGTGGGGAGCTGGCCCAGAGAGGTGATGGGCCAGGGCCGACCCTGGGTCTACGTAGGCATGGTAGTGAGCGTGAATGCGTGTGCAGGAGCGGTGGTAGGAGAGGAAGAGAGGGTGGTGTGCGCTGGGCTTGAGCCCTGGGTGAGTGCTGGAGGGTGCGTACCTGCGTGGTGGCAGGCACAGCTATGTCTGCAGGGAGCAGGGCCAGGCCTGGCAAGCCTGCGTGTGAGAGCAGGTGTCGGGTCTTGGCCTGGGCCAGGAGGGGAGCATGGGGGCAGCCAGGACTAGAGAGGAGGAGGAGAGAAGTCTGCCACCTGGGCCCAGGAGCCCTCCCCTCCCCCGGCTGCCCCACCTTTGGGGGCCCCGTGAGGCAAGCTGGCTTGAGCCTGTCCAGGGGACCCAGCCAGCCCCCCAACACCCTCCACAACAGACTGTACTCCCCTCAGGCACGCTTCTGCTGGCCCCTCCAAGCTCTGCCCGCCCTCAGAGGCCTAACTCAGCTCCTCTGCCTCACGCTAATGAGGCCACAAGGCCACCCCGCAGTGCTGGAGAAAGAATCACGCCTTTGTCATTACAGCTCCCTGAACGACCTCCTCCTCACTTCCTCTACTAGTCACCAAGTCCTGAGGGACAATGTGGGGAGGTGCTGCTTGGCATCGGGTCCACACCCCATCAGACACCAACTCTCACCCTCTTTGGGAGTTGTGGGGTTTGCTGAACCAAGGGGGCACCCTCTTCCGCTCCCATGAGTCTCTCTGAGAGTGGGGACAGGAGGCAGGGTCACTGTGTGCCCTCTTGGTGTGGGGAGGGGCCAGTCTTGGCCTCTTGGAACTGGGCTCAGCTGCCTGGCCTTAGGGGCTGCTCCCACTTGCTGCTGGTCCCCAGGAACAGCCACAGAGAGAGGGTGGGGGGGATGTTCCCCCATTCACCACACGCTCAGGCCACAGGCCAGCACCTGGTACCAGGACCAGCTGGACCCCTGCCCCTCCACCATGACCTCCCAGTACCTGAGGTGCACCTGTTGAGCCTCTTGGGGCATCTCTCCTTTTCTCTGCCCAGGCCTCCCCGGTGTCCAGTTCAACTTGACTTTTCTTTATAAAACTGCTAGTAGGCGGGGAAGTTGTCCACAGTGTCATTCAGCCCCAGGGAGCCCCTCTTCGGTGGCCTTGGACCCTGCTACCTTGCTTCCCTGGCCCAGCACCTGGACTCCAGCCCACCCTTCCCCTCAGAGGAAGAGAGGAGGAGGGAGCGGTTGGGAGGGGGAGGGGCACAGATGGAGTCTTGGGGTGGCTGAACCGAGTGACATTTGGCATTTGGTACTGCGGACAGTGCCCACAAATCCCAGCAAGGGGCAGGGAGAGAGCACGTGAGCCCCGGCCTGCGGGGTGTGGGCGCTGCTGGGAGGGCCCTCGGATCCCAGGCCTGGCCAGGTAGTGAGGGGGTGCCCCTTCGTAGCCCCACCCTGACCGGCCTGAGGCTTCTGCACTTTGTCTCCCATTCTCACTATGCCCCTCGCTCTTGCTTCCAGGTGCCACCCGCCCAGGAAACCTCTCCCGCTTTCCCCCCACTCTGCAGCCCCTCCCACAATCGTGAACCCCCAAATCCTAGTCCTTCTCTCCTAGCCCTATGTCCAGGTCACAAGTGTCACACGCTTCAGCTTATGTCTCTCCTCCCTCCCATGACTGCCAGGCCCCAAGTTCCCACCTTAGGGTCTGTCGCTGGGGAAGGGAGTGGCTCAAGAGAGGGTGCCTGGGGCTGTGTTGAGACTTGTCTCCCGCCCGGGCGGGGCTGGGGGTGGGTACTCACCCTCTGCTCACGATGAGGCGCAGCGACTCCAGGTTGCCGTGGTAGGCGGCCCAGAGGGTGGGGGTCATGCCATCCTCGTCGGGGGCGTTCAGCTCCTTCCGGGTGGCCTCCTTGAGGAGTTCCAGGTAGCCGTCCCGGGCCGCCCGGTGATACTGGTCGTTCATGGTGTCCCACTTGGACGCGGCGGGCAGGGGGCACGGCGAAAGGCCCCCCGCGCGGGAGGGCGGAGGGGTTAGGACTGAGGCATGGGGTTGGGGGAGGGGGCCGGGCAGGAGCCGGGGCCGCCAGCCCCGGCTGCCGCAGACGGAGGGTGCGGAGCGCCAGAGCCGCTGCTACTCCGACATCTGAGCCGCTCACCCGGCGGGAGGGGGAGGATCTCCTGCGGCCCCGGGAGCCGCCCCGGGGCTGCCCCTGGGTCCTAAACACCCTGCTCCCGAGAGCAGAGGGGCGACCTGCGCGAGGCCTTGCCCTCTCTCCCAAAGTGCCCACCCCAGCGCTCCGCCCCGAGAGGACCAGTCTAGGGACAGTCCGAGGTCTGTCCTCACTAAAGCCCCGGCGCTGAGGCTCACGATGTCCCCGCCCGTCAAGGGAACGGGCCGAGGGCTGGGGAGCGGTGTCTGAGGACAGTCCTGACCCCTAGGACAGTGGGCATAAGAGGGGTGTTAGGACTGACCGCCGGATAATCAGCGAGTAGGACCCGGCGGTCCTAGTCGCCGCCCGTTCCCGCGGCGTCGGCATGCGATGCTCCAGCAGGGGGCGCCGGGAGACCAGGCGCGGACTCCGTGGGGAGCTTCGTCCCCACGCCCGACTTCGCCGCATCCAGCCGAGCGGGACCGGGGGTTGGGATAGAGGAAGAGGGATCTTCGACCACTGTGCGGGGGTCGGGGCACGAGGGTCCGGATCTTAGGCCGACAACCGAGGAGCACAAAGGTACAGGGCGCGCTGGGGCTGGGAGGGCGTCGGGGTGTCAGCGGGCCCTTGAGGCGTCTACTGAGAATCAATTCTTGGGGCTCCTCGAGGCCGGGATTGCGGGGTGCCGCAGTGAGGGGAGCCTGGCCCCGCCGACGTGGCGGGGCGGCGGGGGAGGGGACGCCTTTTAATGGGTAAATATAAATCTCACCTTATGTGGCTCCCGCTCGCCCTTCCCTAAATTCAGCTTGCGGAAAAGATGGATCATGTGAGCGGGACTGCGAGGTTCATGGAGCTGGGCTCCCGCGGCTGTATTTCATCCTGCCCTCCCCGCTGTAAAGCGCCCGTGGAGCCCGGCGCGGGAGAGAGGAGACGCTCGCCGCCCTTTGACCCCCCAGTCAGCGCGGGCTCGCGGCCCAGCCAGGTGGGTGCCCCAGGCCACAGGGCCGACGGGTATGGGGAGTGGGGACCTTGGACGGAGTCTGACCCGGCCGCTGCCGCGCGAAACCGACAGGCGCAGCTTTTCCCTTCCCCATTCTCAGCGCTGCTTCCATCACCCGCAGCCCCCATCCTCCGGGTTAGGGACTCCCCGTCCCCAAAATCTAGGGATCCGATGGGGGAATGAACCTGGGGTCCCGTCCGCTCCTCCCCCACAGTGACCTCTGCGACCTCCTCCAGTCGTCCCTGCCATGTCCGAGGAGCCGGCCTCCGGCCCCAAGGAGAGCCCGCCGGCACCGCGGACAGGCCCCCGCGAGGCGTGGAAGAAGGGCGGCCGCCTGCTGTCCGTGCTGCTGGCCGTGAACGTGCTGCTCCTCGCGTGCACGCTCATCAGCGGCGGCGCCTTCAACAAGGTGGCGGTGTACGACACCGACGTGTTCGCGCTGCTCACCGCCATGATGCTGCTGGCGACTCTATGGATCCTGTTCTACCTCCTGCGCACCGTGCGCTGCCCCGACGCCGTCCCCTACCGGGATAAGCACGCCGGCCCCATCTGGCTCCGAGGTGCCACGGAGAGTGGGGGCCGCGGTGGGGGAGGTCAGGCCGAGAGCCGGAGGCCGGGGGTCCCCGAGGAACTGTGGCGTCACATCGAGGAAGAGGTAGAAGTTCCCCTGGCAGGACAGGCAGGCCGCAGTGGACGAGGAGGAAGAGAGAAGGGCCCGGAGGAGGGATGAGGGCGAACTTCTTTGCCCCGTCTAAAGATAGGGAAAAGGTGGTTATGGGGAAAAGCCTCTGCTGAAGAGCAGAACACGTGACAGCCGCAGCTGAAAGGCCCCATCTAGGGCCCTTTCCCTTATCTATGCAGCCCCAAAGAGATGGGGGCTCGGTGGGACATCCATCCACTCACTCAATTATACACTCATCTTTCCATCCACCCATTCATGTTTCAGTCCATCTACTCACCTATACACCTATCTATCTATCTCTCCACCTGCCTGTCCGTCCATCCATCCATCCATCCATCCAACCAACCACTCGTCCATCCATCCATCCATCCATCCATCCAACCAACCACTCATCTAGCCATCCAGCCTCAGATCTAGGAGCCTTCTCCCTGCTTCTCTGACCTACCCCCGCCCCCCATCCCCAGGTGGGCTGGTGCTGTTTGGGATGTGCACTCTGGTCATGGATGTCTTCAAGACCGGCTACTACTCCAGTTTCTTTGAGTGCCAGTCGGCCATCAAGATCCTACACCCTCTCACCCAGGCCGTGTTTGTCATCGTCCAGGTGGGTGGGTGGGAGGAGTGTCCTGAATGTGGTAGAAAGGAGCCAACACCTGGCCTGGGGTCAGGACACCTGAGCGCCACTTCTTTTCTACCCTAAGCAATCACATAAGGGGGCGATAGGTGTGTAGCGGGGACCATACGAGCCCATACATCCGGAAGTACTTGGCAACTACATAATATCCAAATGTGGGTGCCTACTTAGAGGCCCTATGATTTCATTTCAACCTGAGCAGTGCCTGGAGTCTGGGGGAGGGTCTAGTTAATATAAGAGGTGAGTTGTGGCAGTCACCCCATCTCCTAGAACCTGGCCTGATCTCCTTGGGTGCCCACAGAAGGCATCGGTCTCAGCCCCTGGTCCTTCTGTGGGCATGGCCAGTTTGGCCTCAGCCATGTCCCCTATATTTTGTATTTGTTTAGGAAATAAGGTATTCTGTACCTGAGGTTTTTCAAAAAAGTTCAAATATATGGGGGTGGGGGGAGAGAGAGACAGAGAGAGACAGAGAGAGAGAGAGAGAGAGAGAGAGAGAGAGAGAGAGAGAGAGAGAGAGAGATTGCATAAACAGCTCTTTGAAAGATTTTCTGACTGAGCTGAGGCAGGACTGGTCTTACATGGGACCGAAGTCCCCACTCTGGATCGTGACCAGAATGACCACATGTGTAGTTCCCTTCCCTTCCTCTGGGGCCGGTTTCCACAATTCAACACATTTATGGGCATTTATATGGTTTTAGTCTTTTACATTTTATGGGTTTGAGGAATACTCAGGTAAAATGAAAATACAGATACCCCCACGTAGCAAGGATTTGTTGGCAGCTAGGTGAGAGGGAGGATTTGCAGGGCAACAGAGGATGAGCATGGGGCAGGGGACGTTGCCAAGGGGAGGTGAGAAGTCACCAGAGATTCTTTCTACCTTGGACAAGACCTAGCCTGAGGCCGGCCTTGCTCCCAGAAACACATAAGCAGACAGTCAAAACTCTACTTGACCTCCATGCTGCAAAACACAAACAGCAAGATCAGAGAGTTTTACAGATGACGTTATGCAAATTGGTAAAGAGTAGGGTGCTATTTTATATGGACTGTTCCCTAGAAGAGAGAGAAAGCTCCTGACCTCATTTTGCAAAGCTGAAATAAACTTTATAACTCAGTATGAAGGCGCTTGAGGTAGAGGGAACTTAATGCTGGGTGTGGACATGAGCACTCTGGAGTTGATCTGTTTGTCCTGCCCAGAAAATGACCTCATCACTCTCTCAACACAGACTTACTTTCTCTGGGTCTCTGCTAAAGACTGTATTCACATCCACCTGGATCTGACTCGGTGAGTGCCCGGTCCACAGCTCGGTGGCCATGCTGAGGGTGCCAGCACTCACCTTGCATGAGAGATGAGGGTTTTCCAACCTGGGGCCTGGGGCCTCTTTTCGCCCCTCGGGTGGGTTTCAACCAAAGCCCCCTGGCTTTGTCAGCCTGATTTTCATCGCCGTGCACTGTGATGTGTGTGTGTGTGTACATGTTCGCTTTGGTGGGATGGGTTGTGTAGTGCACCATACAACCTTTCTTCTAGGAGAAGGAACGGCACTGGCCTGAGTCTCAGGACAGCCCCCAGCCCTCTCTCGGGTGGCATCTCCGCCAGGCTGTGCTCCCTCCAAACTCAGCTTCCTGTTCACACAGGGGCCTGACTTTTTTCTCGTTTCTCAACACCGTCTCCCAGTGTAGCCCACCAGCCCTCTCTCCACCTCGCCAGGGACCCAGAATGAGCCAAAGACTCTGCCCGGCCTCTCTGCTCTCCCTCCCCCAACAGGTGTGGCCTCATGTTCACACTCACCACCAACCTGGCCATCTGGATGGCAGCCGTGGTGGATGAATCCGTGCACCAGGCACACTCCCACAGCAACGCCAGCCACTCCCGCCTCGCTCCTGACCGTGAGTGCCCACTTCAGGGAACCCTGGCCCGGGGACTCCCAGGCCTTGGGTGGGCGCTTCGTGCACTTGTAGAGTCGGTCTCCCGTGTCCTCACAAGAGAGGAGTGCCCCCTCCTGCTCCGGGCTCTGACTCTGGCATATAGGTGTAGGTGACTCAGGAAGGGGAGCATCAGGGGCACCTTCTCATCCTGGGGGGTGCAGCCTTGGCCCCGTTGTCTAGGTCTCAATTCCACTGATGAAGGGTTTTGGGCTCCAGGACAAAAGGCCAAGGGTGATCGAACTGGAGAGAGGGGAAGGGAGGCCGGGAGGCTCAGTGGCGGAACCATGGGGTCAGACAGACAGCCCGGCAAGAAGCTAAAAATAATAATCACAATGACGAGGGTGACAATCTACTGAGCTCTATATGTCAGACGCTGTGCTAAGTGTCTTAAACCCTCTATCTTACTTAATCCTCACAACTTCCCTGTGGGATGGGTCATATTATTATGCCCATTTTACAGGTGAAGAAATTAAGGCATAGCAAGGTTATGTAGCTTGCCCAAGGTCACAGAGCTTAAGGTTGGAGAATCAGTGTTCGGATCCATTTTTGCTTTTAACCAATAAGCTATACCGAGGAAGAACGGGGTCCCCAGCCCCATGGTCCTAGTTCTTTGGACTTCTCTGGCGCCCCCTCCTCAGGACCAGACTAGATGACTAAGTCCATCTGAACTTCGCCTGAAGACACATGCACACACCCAGTACGGGGGTGTCTGGGAATGAAGAGCACAGGCCCAGCCCTCCGGGAGACCCCAGCCCAGCAGGACAGACAAAGGGCTACCTTTCATGTACAGAGGGTTCCTGAGGATGGTTAAAACCAACCTGGGCAGGCAGCCAACTGAACCGCAGGGGCTGCATGGGTGCAGAGAGGCACACTGGAGAGCTACCCATCCCGGGGTTCAGAGTCAGATCGCTTGAGTTAGCTCTGCCATCACAAGCCACTGTACCTCAGGGGGGCCTCAGTTTCTTCATCTGTAAAACCAGCTGGGATAGTTCTAGAGATCAAAAGAGATGTTTGCCAGGGCCCAAGACACTCTACGAAGTACAGTCCGGGCGCCGGACTAGACTCCTCGTGGTGCAGTGTGAACAGAAGTAATGGGAGGTGGTGGTCCAGACCCCGGCACAGCAGCTTGCTTTCCGGGCTGAGTCAGATGCTGCGGGGAGCTTAGAGGAAGCTGGAACTTGAGAGGTTCCCGGGAGGGCCACCTATCAGGACCAGAACCTCGCCTATCTCGGGGAGCCGGGGGTCATTGCTGGTGGGGACCAATTGGCAGTGTTTTCCTGAAAGAATAGAATGGGATAAAGTGATAGTTCTGAGGCTCAGTTTTATTATTACTATTATTATTGTTATTATTGAGCACTGGCTATTGTTTACTGATGTGTCCCACAGTCCCTGGCACACAGTTGGTGCTCAGTAAATACTATGGCAAGAATGAATGTGCCTGTGTAGGCGTGCGGGATACGGTGGTGAATGTGGCAGATGGAGACCCTGCCCTCGCAAAGGTCACGGTCCCGGGGTGAGGCGCTTGGGAGGGGGCGTGTCCAGGAAGGTGGGAGGGCAGTGTGGCTCTGTGCCCCTCTCCCCACAGCGGAGCGCGTGGCCAGCGGGCTTGGAGGAGACTGCCCCTGCGCCACGGCCATCTGCCAGATCTTCCAGCAGGGCTACTTCTACCTGTACCCCTTCAACATCGAGTACAGCCTCTTCGCCTCCACCATGCTCTACGTCATGTGGAAGAACGTGGGCAGGCTGCTGGCCTCCTCTACCCGTGGCCACAGCCACACTCCATCCCAGGTCGGCCTCTTCCGGGAGACATTCTTTGCCGGCCCGATCCTGGGCCTGATGCTCCTTGTGGTGGGGCTGGCCGTCTTCATCATCTATGAGGTCCAAGTGAGTGGAGAGGGGGGCCACATGCAGCAGGCCCTGGTCATCTACTACAGCTTCAACATTGTGTGTCTGGGGCTCATGACCTTGGTCAGCCTGAGCGGCTCGATCATCTACCGTTTTGACCGCCGGGCCATGGATCACCATAAGAACCCCACGCGAACCCTGGACGTGGCCCTGCTGATGGGTGCCGCCCTGGGCCAGTATGCCATCTCCTACTACTCTATCGTGGCTGTGGTGGTGGGCATGCCCAGGGACCTGCTCGGGGGGCTCAACCTGGCCCATGCTCTGCTCATGATTGCCCAGCACACCTTCCAGAATGTGTTCATTATCGAGAGCCTCCACCGGGGCCCGCCGGGGGCTGAGCCTCACAGAAGCCCTCCCAAGGAGCCCAGCCTCACCTTTGCCAACCTGGATGCCCTCCACACCTTGCCCTCCTGTCCGCCCGCCCCTCGGCTGGTTGGACCCAGCCCCGCAGGCCCTCAGGAAGCAGTGGCCATCATCGTGACTTCCAGAGGCCACTGGAGAAGCCGGTGCCTGAAAGACATTTCTCTGTTTCTTCTCTTATGCAACATCATCGTGAGTAACTGGGGGCCTGGGGGTGGGCTGGGCCGAAAAGAAGGCCAGGAGGCTCTTTTGGGTTTTTTCCCTTGGCCTTCTCTGTCTTGTCTCCAGCCTACTCGAGAATCTTACGGCTCTCTAGAGAAAGAGTAGGCTCAGAGAAGATCAGATGCAGCCCCCAGGCAAACAGCATCTCAGGGCACACAGAGACTGAAACCCCAATGTACTGGCATCTCGGCAGCAGCCGGAGCTAAAGGGGTCCCGGGGAAGGCTGACATGGGGGCTGGGCGGAGGCGAGAGGGAGCCGTGAGAACTGATGTGGAGGGCGGGGGCCCTCACCCCCAGCTGGGAGGTGTGACTGCTCCTGGGAACTTGTGACCAGCCTGCTTCTTAGAATAATTGGAGCAGCGTCAGGAAGTAGCAGAGAGCAGTGTAAGTGTGAGCGGTTAGCAGAGTACAGTGGCGGGCTGGCCGGGAAGGGGGGCACCCACAACAGCTGCCCCCTCCGCAGTGATTCAGCCAAGCCCCCGGCTAAAAGAACGCCTCTGTATAGCAGCAGACTTCACCCAACACAAATATATGCCATGGATGGAAATGCTCTTCACGGAGGTGCACCCCAATGGAGAAACGCTCCTAATGTAACCACAACCCAACAGAGAAACGTCCCAGTATAGATATAATCCCCAGGAGGAAATCTGTAATACAGGAACGTGTACCCGTGGGAGTACATGCCAGAGAGAGAAAACACCTCCAAAGAAATTTCGCTCGATATAAAACCAGTTCTTTTAGCTATAAGCTCCAATAGAAAAATACTCATACTATAGAAACAGCCTCATGTGGGTATGTATATCTAATACAAAACACATCTCCAAAGAGAATTTCACCCCAGTGTCGTATACATGAAATACACTGACCATCCACCCTGAGGCACTTTGTTGGTGAAGTCCCCACTGTACATATTGCCCACCCTACAGGTGGCCTGTAAAAAAAAAAAAAAAGTGATAGCAATCTCTGACCTACCAGTGGAAGCAATAAGGTGTGAAACTTCATATCCTGAGCCAGCTATAGAGCTGGCTCTGCCTTCATCTCCCGCCCACCCTACCCACAGGGTGGGAGTCACCTTTGGGGAGGCTGTTTTTGCTCCACGTACCCTCTCCACATTCCTTATTGTATGCAGTGGTCCCCAACCTTTTTGGCACCAGGGACCAGTGCTCCTCTGAGAATCTAATGCCCCGTGATCTGAGGCGGAGCTGAGGCGGTGATGCTAGCGCTGGGGAGCGTCTGCAAATAGAGAAGAAGCTTCAAGCTCGCTCGCCTGCCACTCACCTGCTGCTGCGCAGCCCAGTTCCTAACAGGCCACGGATCAGTCTGTGGCCTGGGGGTCGGGGACCCCTGTTGTATAGAACACAAATAGGCTCAGAGAGGAGCTGTGATGTGGCCAGGGATGCAGTTAATTAGGGGCGAGGAGGATGGGGCCGCATACCCGACACCGGAACCTTTTGAATTCACATCCAGAGACAAGCAAGATTCTAGCTTCAACCTCTTCCCAGACCTCATAGCGGGCTGGGGTGGGGTACCCTTCCACTGGATCCTGAAGCCCCCGCCCTGGGCCTGTGTGATTCTGCCACCACCCTACATATATCTTACGAGGAGAGAGCTGCTGATTTAGCCATTTGTACCAAACTCTCATGTCATCTGTTGAAGCCTAGTGTGCTTTCCCCATCCCACACGCGGGCCGTACGGAGGCTAGGAGATGCAATCACAGGGGTAGCCCTGGCCTGGAGATTGACAAATTCGGTTGGACACATTTCCTGAACTCCTTAGTGAGTGCCAGTCCCTGCCCAAAATGCAGGGGACCCCACTCAGCAACGCCCAGCCCTTGCTGTCCACCAAATTAGAGGGCTGAGATCTGCAGCAAAGCCCAGTCTGGGCCAGGCCCTGATGTGCCCTCTCTCCCGCAGCTGTGGATCATGCCCGCCTTCGGGGCCCGCCCTCACTTCAGCAACAAGGTGGAGGTGGACTTCTACGGCTATTCCCTCTGGGCGGCCATCGTCAACATCTGCCTGCCTTTCGGCATCTTCTACCGCATGCACGCCGTCTCCAGCCTGCTGGAGGTCTACGTGCTGTCCTGAAGCCCCTAAAAGAGATGCGGAGAGGCAGGGGACTCGGCTCATGCACCCACCCAGAGCCCCTTGAGAATGAACCCCAGGCTGGCAGTCAGTGTGCCTCATTCCCACCCTTTTCCTCCTGGGCCCAGAGTGGCATTTTCACAAAAGTTTTATTTTCTGGCATATGCCCATCCACCCCAGGATGACACTGGAGCATGGGGCTATGGGAAAGGGAGGCCACTCCCTGCAGCATTTCTAGGACCAGGCAGGATCTGAAAGTGTCAGTGGCTCCAGCTCCACCCCTAATCCCAGCCCTGTGACCCGGCCAGTGCGGCTGCCTGGAGCTGAGAACCAATAAACCTGCAGTTTGTCCCTGTCCCCCACTTCCTGTCTCAGCCTCACCATCTAAGATGATCACAAAAGAGGATCTCGGGGGTGGGAACTGGAAGGGCCCCTGGAGATTTTCAGGTCTCGAGCTTTTCAGTGGGTGAGCCAAGTCTGAGCTCCAAACCAGTTACAGGCTAATACCTGGGTGGCTGGGAGGAGCTGGGCAAAGTACCCAAGCTGCCACCTTCCTCTTCCCTTTATCCTCAAGTGACATATACATTTTTTATGTGTTCCATGACACAGGAAAGGTTAGGAAGGGCTGACCTAGTCCAACTACCACTTTACAAAGACAGAAACGGAGGCCCATGGAGGGAAAGTGACGTGCCCGAGTCACACAGCTCAAGAGAGCCAGAGCCTTTCTACTCAGCATAATAATTTTCAAACAGCAGAACCTTTTTTTTTCCCCGCAAATAAAATATTTCAAGAATCCGAGTTTATAACATAAACGGGGCTGTTCCAGTTTAAGAGGAGTTAGGGATGCAGATCCTCATCCCTTGGGCCTCATCTTCCCCACCACCCCCCGTCCCCGGAGGTCCCTGAGACCCCTCTACAAAAGGTGTAGAGATGGACTCAGCAACGAGACTGAAACATCAGATGGAACAGAAAGTGATGGAAAAGGCGGCTCAACAGCTAGAAGAGGCAGAATGGGTGGCGGGCAGAGTCAGGAGAAGGAGAGACAGGCCAGGGTGGGGACTGAGGTGGGGCCGGGGTGGGAGGAGAGCTTGGGAGCAGCAGCACTAAAGCTCCGGGGCTGGCACAATGACATGGGAGGATCTCAGAGACGCAGGAGGAGCCCGGGAGGGCCGAAGGCGGCAGCTGCCCACCCTACCCACTTCCTGCCCTATCTGAATGGGGTCTCTTCTGCCCCAAGTTCACTGTTGGACTTAGAAACTGAGAGGGAGCGGGAACACGCGGGGCAGCCACCGCCCGACCTGGCGCTGAGTCGGGTACAGGAAGAGGCGACCGCAGACCTGAGGCTTCCATGCCCTGCTTGGCTGCCAGAGGAAACTGAGGCCTGAATCTCGCAAGGCCTTTACTTCGTCCGAAGGACACTGCACCGCTTCCCACCTCACCCCGGAGGCGCCGGTCGCTGGTCCCCTGACCCTGAGCTGCGCTCCTGCACCGCCCCCGGCCCCGCCCGCTCGTCTAGCCGCCTCGCAATTGGCTGCTCCGTCCGGGCCGGAGCCCCCGGCAGCGTAATTAAGGAAGGATTAATGAGAGCCCCAAAGTCAACAGAAAAATCGATGGGGCGCGGAGCCGGAGCGGCGGCTGCGCAGTCTTGCGGAGGGAGGGCGTCGGGGACATCGGTCCAGGCGCTGGGGCCTCTCCTCGACCGACGACCGGTGCTGCCCCAGCAGTCGGTTGTCAGCCGACAGCGATGCCTGCCCCGGTCTCAGGTAAGGCTCGCGGCTGCGCCCCCGGACCGCAGGTGGAACATCCGGGTGAGAGCCCACCTTGACGCTTACACCCACTCCACCCTCAAAGCGGGTTTCAGGGACTCGGGGCTGCAGGGATTGGGACGTGAGGGCGGGGTGACTGGGGGAGGCCAGACACTGGCGACCCGAGTGCCGGCTCCTCTCTACCCGCCACCCCAAATCCGGCTCGGCTCCCACCTGCTTTCCGCGGATGGGCGAGCACAGCCGAAAGGGGGAGCCGGGGCCGGGAAGAAGAGAAACACCCGGACGGCTGGAAAAGGGGTGTGGGGTCAGGGCTGCCAGCACGCCGGGTCCGAGGCATACGTGTAGTGGCCGTCCCGGGCCTCGCAGTCCCCCGAGCGGGTTGGAAAGAAATCTCGAAGCTCCTGGCCCGCGCTCAGCTGCGTCCTCCGGATCTGGCCCCGCGCTTCTGGGAGGGCGGGGGAAGGGGGCGGCGCGCCCCGACGGCTCCCAGCCTTTCATCATCTGCCTCTAAACACGACCCACAAACCAGTTGTGCAGGCCTTCCCTTGGACTGGAGTTGCGCCGAAGGGCGTGCCGGGGGACGGCGGGTTCCTTCTCGTCGGTTCGGGAGCCCTCGTCCTCTACCGTGGACCCCGGTGTGCCCCGCACCGCGTCACTCTCCCCCGCGTGGACCGAATCCGACATTTCGAGGGCTCCCTCTAGCGGCCGCTAGAGCGTTGACACCCCGCCAGCCCCACAGGTGGGGGGGCGGTGACTTCAGGGCGAGGATCCTGGACGGAGAGGACCTGGAACCTTATCCTCCAGTGTTCCTTTCAGATTTGCAGTCCAAGCAAAAACCCGACCCTTCCAGTCCCTCCAGGGCTGCGAAAGAGCTGGAAGAAAATGTACAAATAGCTAACACTGAGTGAGAGATTTCTGTGTGCCAGACGCTGACCTACATGTACATAAATTAAATCACTTAACTTTGATAAAACCCCTATGAGGTAGGTATTATGCAATAATTCCTTCATGTATTCGTTCAAGAAATCTCTATTGAACATCTAATAATACACTGGGTACTAGTCCATAGTCGTATATCTGCTTTACAGATGAGAAATCTAAGGCACAGAGAGTCTTAGTAGCTTGTCCAAGATCACGCATGTAGTAGGTGTTAGAACCTGAACTCTTAATTATTAGGCTGTCCTACCTTGGGGAAATGAGGGAGAATAATATGGGAAAGGCGAGGCGAAGCAGCCAGAGTTTGGGAGGAAGGGAGCAGGGAGGTGTCCCTGTGAGCCTCAGCTTGCTCAACCTGGGCGGGGGAGCCTAGGAGGAAAGATAAAGATCATCTGGAAAGTCTCCTCTACTGGGCCAGGATGGAACAGTTTCAATGGGAAGGGTCTCTGTCCACAGCTTTGGTGCTGAAAGTTCCCCGGGGAAAATGCCAGAGTCATTCGACAAACACTGATTGATCGTCATGTTGTGCCAGGTTTGGGGTGTCCAAGTTAAGCAGGACCTGGCCTCTGACTTGAAGGGGTGCCTGGTCTTGAAGGGAGCCAGCCACACCCACAGCACCTCACCAGACAGTGCACACCCACTTTCAACAGATGCTTGGGCACAGGGAGAAGGCTTCCCAGGAGAAGCACTTAAGGTGGGTGGTAAGGATGGGTTAGAGCCACAGTGGAGGGTAGCGGGTGAGACAGAAAGAACAGTAGGCTCCAGGGGTGATGGCGGAAGGCAGGAGACCACACGAGAAATGTGGAGCCCTCCGGCTGGGCGGGGGGCCAAATGCCTGGAGTGTGACAAGGGGGCTGGACAGGGAGGGTGCAGAACAGAACAAGAATGACAGGGAGGACTAGGAAATGGAGGGAGAAAATTATTTGTAGACCCTTAAAGAGGACCAAGTTTTATTATTCTATTTGTCCCAGGAGAGAATAGTAGAAGGTATAAATATTGAGCAAATTGCACGTGGGAAAATGGGGGGCTCCGGAGCCTACATTTTAGAGCCAAATGAAATGAGGGTCTAAAACGGTTACATAGTGGGAAAGTCTGAAGCTTCTGAAGTTTGGAGATCAAAGGGAGAAACAGGTTAAAACAGCATGAGAGGCAATGCTCCGGCAATAAGCATGGATCTTGGTGGGGGTACCAACACGGGGAGCCCAATCCAGCCTTGGCATAGCGGTTCAGGGGAAGTCCACTTAGAGGATGTAGGGCTCTTCTGAGTACTAAAGGACAAGCTGCAGTCAGCCAAGGGACAAGGGGTTTGGCATTATGGGCAAAGGGTCAGGGGTGGGCAGATAGGGAGGCGAGCAGAAGCAGAGGCATTCCGGGAACTGCAGCAGGATGGCACAGCCCGTGGACAAGTGGGGTCTCAAGACAGTGCTGGAGATGTAAGTCGAGGACAGACCAGGAAGCAACAGCAGCTGCCCTGCCTTGAGCACTTTCTGCACTCCAAACCCATACTGTACACATACTGCCTCGTTTCATTTCAAGAGGTCATGCTAGTCAGTTTGGTCTTTGTACTGAGGGCAACTGGTCACCTTTGCAGGGCTCACAGTAGGGGAGAGGCACAGTGGGCAGGGAGGTCTGTCCAGGAAGAGAGGAGGGGGTCCTGGACTAGAGGCAAGGAGGATGCTCATTCCCTGCCAGGCGATGTGGGGATAGAGATGCCACTTGATGAAACAGTAAGCTTAGGAAGCAGGCCTCCTGCAGCCTGGAGAATGGAGAGGGTGAGCACTTAAGAACCTTGAGCCCAGAGCACCAGGGATTCGAGAGCAGCAGCAGGACCGGGGGAGGGCACCTGGGATGGCAGGGGGCAGGGGAGCCACCTGAGTCAGCCTAGGAGAAGTCTCCCCATCACGAGAGTCCCCAGCACCAGCAAGGTGTCCCCCTCTCTAGTACAGCTCAGTGCCATGAGGAATGAGTACACAAAGACCCGCGGGAGGAGTATGCTGGACTCCAGGCAAAGGCCCTGAGCTGCAGGTATGAAGTGACCTAAATGTGGGTCCAAGAGAGGGGTGACAAAGAGGCTGACCTACGTGAAAGCTCAGGAGATGGTGAGGAAGTAGCAGGGGACATTCAAAGTAGAGAAGGGTCACGGATGGCATTCCCCACGTTGGGCTGGGCATTCATAGGACATCCAGGAGTCAGAGGGAAATGGTGCAGGTGGAAGCCAGTTCTGTCAAAGTCAAGGGCATGGCATCCATGCTGATCCCAACCTGCCCTATGCTTGTGGCAGGCATTGCAAATTAATCTCAGCACCTTCCCCCATCTTTAAAATTAATTTTAATTACATATGTAATATGGTTTTTAAAGCTAGAGCATTAAACCACTCCCACTCTTAGAGCCCTCCTTCTTCTCCCAGAAGAAATTCCTCTGGAGAGTCTGGCAGTTATCTTCCAGACCCATACGTCCCCACAATCAGCTCTTATTTCCGGTCACAGCATTCTTTCCCAACAGGCCCACCCCAGGCAACCATCACCCACTGACCAGAGTCGGAGCAAGGGCAGACACCTTGGCCTTTCACTCAGGAGTGAGATTCCTCCCCGAAGTCAGCAGAGCACAAACTGCCTTATGGTAGTGATAAGTCACAGCCCTGGAAAGCACCCAGTGGTCAGGAACTATGCAAGTGCCCCTGACTCCCTTGACAGACATTATGACTTCATCTTAGGATCAGGCACTGAGGCAGGAAGCGTGGGGTGCAGGGCAGGTGGTCCCCGAACGAGTGGAAGCGATCTCTGTGTCCACGTGGAGCACAAGGGTTTCCATATCCCCCGCTCTGTTGAAACCTCCGTGGGTCCCATAATGCAGATGGGCGGCTGCCTTTATTTCTGACCAGAGAAGTTGCGTAGTTTGCCTTGGTCACACAGCCGTTAGGGGCAGACGTGGAACTGAACCCAGGACAGCCAGCAGCCAACCAGTATCCTTTCTCCCTCCCCAGCCCCTGCTGAGGCTCCACCTGTGGCCTCTCTAGAAGCACAAGGGACTGGAGCGGCCAAGGAGAACCAAGTGGACGTGCGGGCCCAGAACCTGGGCTCCCCCGCCTCGCCCCACCAGAAGTCCTGGCTGGTCCGGCACTTCTCACTGCTGCTGCGGCGGGACCGGCAGGCCCAGAAGGCAGGGCAGCTCTTCTCGGGGCTCCTGGCCCTCAACGTGGTGTTCCTGGGAGGAGCCTTCATCTGCAGCATGATCTTCAACAACGTGGCAGTCACGCTGGGTGACGTGTGGATCCTGCTGGCGGTGCTGAGGGCCCTGTCCCTCCTCTGGCTCCTCTACTACGGGACCGGCACCTCCCGCCGGCCACACGCCGTGCTCTACAGGGACCCTCATGCAGGACCCATCTGGGTGCGGGGTGAGTGTGGGGGCTGGGCGGATGCAGGGTGGTGGGGAGGGAGGGCCATTCCGCCAAGTGCCAATGGCCACCGGCCCGCCAGGCTCCCTGCTGCTCTTCGGCGTGTTCACCATCTGCCTCAACGGCTTCCGCGTGGGCTACGACTTGAGCCACAGCCACTGCAAGTCGCAGCTGGAGCTCATCTTCCCTGCCGTGGAGATCATCTTCATCGGCGTCCAGGTAACAGGACTCTCCCTACGCCAGGCCACGCGCACGCACGCCCCAGCCTATGCCTGGGAACAGCCCGACAGGCAAATGCCTACGTGGCTCAGAGTTTGTACACACGCCACAGCCCCCCACAAATGCCTGTCTCTGTGCACCCACGTCCACACTCACCTGTGTATACCTGCACCAGCACACACCATGTCACTGAAATGCAGACACCTATAAATACATCTGCCTGCACCTACTTGCATATCTAAACCTACATACACCCTTAGATATACAGAGCTGCTCTTAACCATGCACATCCAGCTCCCTCCTGACTGCCTGTTCTGCACCAGGCATGGAGTTCCATTTACATCATCTTTTTTATTTCCATGATAAGTGGGCATCCTCTGAGAGGCCGGCATTTCAGTCCCATTTTAGTGCTGAGGAGACTGAGGCTCAGCGATATCTTACCACTGGCCCAAAGCCACACAGCAAGGAAACAGTAGAGCCAGGATTCCAACTCAGGCTTCCTTACTGTCCCTTCCATTGTAAATACACACAAGCAGCTGGGGCGCGCACTCCACGGTCCACCCTCACCCCCCTGCCTCCAGCTCAAGGCCCTGTCCCCTGCAGACTTGGGTGCTCTGGAAACACTGTAAGGACTGTGCTCAGATCCAGACCAACGTCACTAGGTAAGGTGGGGGCGTCTTCCCTCCCTGTAACAACTGCCGGGGCTTCCTGTCCCCTCTGCTGCCTGCCCCCCACAGCTTGCCTGCCCCCCACAGCTTGCCTGGGGCTGCGGCTTAGTCTGGGAATGGTCTCAGGTGGCCCCTAGGTCTACCTAAAGTCCTAATGTGAGATGGGATCTGGTTTGGGGAGAGAGCAGTCACCCCAAAGGCAGTGATAAGCACCCAGGCTAGGCTGTGTGGGCAGAGCACAGAGCGTGGCATTTCCTCCAGATGTGGCCTGATGCTGACCCTGGCCACCAACCTGCTGGTGTGGGTCCTGGCCGTCACCAACGACTCCATGCACCACGAGATCGAGGCGGAGCTCAGTGCCCTCATGGAGAAGCTGTCAGGTACAGAGGAGACCACGACTCCCACCCCCGAATGCGCGCGTACACACACACACACACACACACACACACACACACACGCACACGCACGCAGCTCCTTCAAACGAGTGAGCTTCAGTGAGTCTACAGAGCGGGGAGCAAACACTAGAAGCCAGATCATGACTAGACCGAAAACCAACATTTGCCAATAGTACCCACCCTGCCCCCATCCTGTGCCTGCTCCATCAGGTGCTGGCACCCTGCAACCCTGCTCCGGGCATCCATCTAGCTGTCAGCTCATGTCAGCAAGCTAGTCACTAAGCCATTCAGTGATAAATCCAGGTAGGCACCCCACCTCTGGTATTTGCCTTTCACTTGTACTAAAAAGCCTTCAGTACCAAAAGGAATGTCTTCCTAATACAACTGTAGGTGCCTGGACATGTTGGGAGGGATGATTTCTGGCGAGAAAGACCTCCCCGCATTGTTCCATGTGCCCAATCCTCATCTGTATAGCCTGCCCCTTCAAAGTTATGTCCCACAAACCTACGTGGGAACATCGCTGTCATCAGCCACACCTGTATGTATACAGTCCCCCCACCCCAAGCTGGCATCCCCATCCTGACCTGTGAACAGCCAAGCCTTCCCAGCACACCCATGCATTTACACACCCACCCCATAAATCATGGCACACCTGTACGCGGTGCACATTCTTTATACTCTGGATAGATTTCTCAGAAGAGCTGTGCAAGGAGAATATTTTTGGCAAGTGACACCATAGATTGTTTTCTTATTTAAAAATTCAGACTATGGCCATGCTACCCTGAACAAGCCTGATCTCAGAAGCTAAGCAGGGTCGGGCCTGGTTAGTACTTGGATGGGAGACCACCTGGGAAGACTAGGTGCTATAGGCGTAAAAAAATAAAATAAAATAAAATAAAATAAAAAAATAAGGGATTGTAAGCTGACGAGGTCCTTGTAATCTGTGAGGTCAACTAAGGGTTGCATTGCCTAAAAAAAAAAAAAAAAAAAATTCAA